AGGTTCAGGCCGTGATTCAGCAGTTCCCATACAAGCGTGGAAAAGAAAAACATAACCTTTTCCATGTCCAGCAAGTACACTTGCTTGAAAAGTCTTTTTCTGTTGGGGAAGAATCACTCAAGACATCTGTAAAACATGAGTTTGAAAAAACATTGCTTGAAGGTATTCTTATTATCTCTTTAATGAAAAGAAACGGGTGAGCGTGTACTTTAAGATACTTGAAATTCTTTGTTATTTAATACATATCCAATAATTTCTGGAAAATTCCTGAAAGTATCATGTATGTATCACAATTTGCAGAAGATGTAATCAGATCTCAAGAGGAGCTGGAAGCTATGAAACAAGAGAAGTAATAAATGAATGAAAATAGGAGCCTGGAAAAGTTCTGAGACGCGAAAAGAAGACGGATGGTTTGGTGCAGGCCTTAGAAGTGAAACAAGAGCCATAGAATGTAGGGAGAAGAGAAATGGTCTTAGCACTGAGTGTTCAAATACTGCTTTTATGGTACTGAGAGGCGGGGATTGCATTGCAAACATCCACTGAAAGAACCTCTCCTAAAGTAAAGTCTGTTTTTTTTACTAGCTAAGTATAGTCTCCAATCTATTTGTGGCCCCTAGAAAAGTGTTGGGGCAGTTTACAGAAAGAAGTGAAACTGCTGGAAAATGTGATAATCTCTCGTGGAGTCCAAGTCTGGGTGCAAGAGGTGAGCATCCTGCCCCAGTAGGCACCCTGTCCTGACTCTCTCCTCTTCCCATAGACCATTGTTAATCCTGGTCAGGGCTGTTTCTGAAGTCCCAACTGTAGCAGCCCCATTCACCAGGTGACAAGCTTGTGTAAGGCACGTGAAGATGTTTAAACCCAAACAAATAAGTAAACATTTCAATAAAGATAAAAAAACAGTCATTGCCAATTTCTTAAACAGTCCAACAGTTAGTACAATACTTCACTTATAAAACTAACATTTGAAAATCTGGCTATTTTCATTCAGTTAAAAAAAAAAAAAAAGAACAAAAGCAAATGCAAACCAAACCCAAAGGATAGTTTAAAAGAACAATCTTTTACAAGAATCTAGAAATATTTCATTACAAAACCTGGAAATAGCGTTAGTGATACCCAACTGTCCTGTCTCCTGACAATTTCCATCACCCACGTTTAGATAAAGTATAAGGCAAGATCTGAAAACTGTAAATCATGGAGAAAGCTCTACGTACCATGCAGACTGCACCTCATAGCTCCTGGATGTGCCAGCTGGGAAATCAACTGCTCACTCTCATCCACACTAATAGTAAGAGGCACTCCGCTTTTCTCAAGACATAGAACTGTACAATCACCACAATTGGAAATGATTATATAGTCCAAACGTTCACCTGCCACCAATATTTCCCCACTAAACCATGTCCCTTAGTCTAAACATTTCTCAAACGCCTCCAGGGACAGAGAGTCAACCGTTTTCCTGGGCAGCCTGTTAAAATACCTCACCACTCTTTCGGGGAAGAAATTTTTCCTAATACCCAACCTGAATCTCCCCTGGTGCAACTTGTCCTATTGCTCTAACCTGGGAGAAGAGGCCAACCCCACTCGCCACACCCTCCTTTCAGAGAGTTGTAGAGAGTTGTAAGGTCTCCCCTGAGATTCCTCCAGACTAAACAATCCCAGTTCCCACAGCTGCTCCTTGTAAGACTTGTGTTCCAGACCCCTCACCAGCCTTACTGTCCTCCTCTGGACACGCTCTGGGCCCTCTATTTCTTATTACACTATTCCCCATTCAACACTTTGTGATAGTGTAGATCAGAGGTGCAAAACACACAGCTTGCTGGTCACACTCAACCAGGTAAGTTACATCTGTGTCCTGCTTGTAGACTAAAATCACCAAGCTTCCCAAAAGACCTGCTAGGGCACAGCGAGCTGCGTCACCAGCCTTGGGCCTGCCACTCACCTCTCCCCTTTCCCTGCACTTGGGTTAATGCACTCAGCGTGGCTGGGCAGAGAGGGAGAATCCATAGCGACTGACCGTCAGGAACTGCTGCATGACAGAGTGATGCAGTTCAATGCAGGTAAAGCTTTAAGGCAGCCTATTAGAAGTAAGACCTTGTGAGGCATACAGGTGGATTTTTTTCATTAGCCTTTACAATAGCGAGCAGTGATCTTACACAGAAACAGACTTAAAAACAATGTTAAAAACAGCCTTCCTGACTGATGGGCCACGGATGCTATTCACTCCCAAATTCAAAGACAAGGGTTGCCTCTGTGAGCAGAACTCAGAACTGCCCCACATCAGACCAGAGCCAGATCCAGCTGCTACAAAAGTGAACTGCTGCTGCCAGAGCTGAGCTGTGAGTGACGCTGGGTGCAGCTCTGGGAGAGCAGACTAAAAAGAGGGAAAAACTGTAGTGCAACAGCAGCTGGGAGAGACAAGTGAGATGTGTGACACAAGCAGCCCTGCAGATACCAAGGTAAATGCAGAAGAAGGGCAGGAGGTGTTCTAGGTGTGGAGCAGAAGTTCTGGTAGCCCAGGAGTGTCCTGTGGAGATGCAGGCCTTACTCCTGCACCCGATGGGCACCACAGAAATCTCCACGTCTAGCCACAAAGGAGCCCGTAGTGGAGTAGGCAGAGAGCAACCATAAAGGAAAGGCAGGGACAAAGCATTACAGACCAATCACTGCCCCCACTCTCTGTTCCTCTGTGTCCATCAGGGGGAGGAGGCAGAAGATTTGGGCACAAAGTTGAGCCTGCGAAGTAGGGAATGGGTTGGAGGAAGGTGTTTTTAGCTTTGTTTCTCATTATGCCACTCTATTTTTAATCGCAACAAATTAAATTAATCTTCCCCAAGCAGCATCTGTTTTGCCTCTGCAGCCACCAGTGAGTGATCTCACTGCCTTTATCTCAGCCCAGCAGCTGAGATCTCATCTTCTCCCCATGCCTTGCTGTGCAGAGGGAACAAGAGAGCAGCTTGGTGGGCACCTGGCAGCCAGCCAAGGTCAACCCACCACGAAGGCACAAAGTCTGCCTTTAGGGGCAAAGGAAAGAACAACTGGTACATTTTTATGGCTCTTCATGCACGTCTCAAGAGTCCACTGAGAACTACAGCATCATCAGTGAGGCTTCCAAAGGAATGTCCAATGGAAAACAAAGTATTGACAGCATGTATGTGAGTGTCAATTGTGCAAAGCTATCTTAAAGTGAAAGTTTTATACGTTCTGTGTGAATCATTATATATGTAATATATTTTATGGTATAGTGTATTATATAGAGCATATATATCATGCATGTATACTCTCTCCAGAAATATATATACATGCATACAAACAGCTGGCCGTTCTTTACTGCATCTGTCAGAGTGTAAGATAATCAGAACAGTCCCCAGGCAGTAACAGTTGTACTTGCACTGCTAAGTCTGATTGTGGCAGACCTAACAAATCCATGCACAATGCATAGTTTATATGGGCCTTGTAAGAATTTCATGAATCAAAGAAATTAGTATCTGTCGGTATCACAATGATGCACAAACACAGACTTACCAGAACTTATTTTAGAATTATAATTAAGCATATATGTAGCAGACAACTTTTTACAGGTAATATGTTTATTTACCATGTACATTCCAGCAGTCTGCAGGTCACCAAAAGGCTCTAAGTCTGAGACAACTCCTATGAACAGCATCTCATATAATCTGGCCTCCAGATTATTCTCCCTTTAATCGCAAAAAGTATATGAAAACTTTCACTGAAGTACTGATAAATGTTCTCAGCTAGGAAAACTACTTCATTAATTTCAGTACTCAGTGTCAAATGCTCATTTTTCACAAAACAGTGCAAGGCAAAAGAGTGACAGCAGCAGGAAAATAATCTGTTTGCTAGGAATTCCCTCCTAGTACACACAGAACAAAATATTTCTGTTGCTGCCCCAGAACTGATAATGAATAAGATATTGTCCAGATGGATAGGCATGTAAGTCACAACTTGGCAGATTTCATTGTAAGCAAACATCCCAGTTAAGCAAAGAAATAGCCTTTCCATACTCAACAACTACAGCAGTTCTCAATACTTTGCTCACTATGGACATTGGGGTTGGAATCCCATCGTGGTGCTTCCTCGCTGGAGATACTCAAGGCCTTAGGTTTGATGGGGCTTTGATCAACCTGGTCTAATGGGAGGTGTCCTTGCAGGAGGAGTTGGAAAAGATGATCTCTGATGTCCCTTCCAACACAAACCATTCTATGATTCTGTGATCTTCAAGGTTTCTTCCAAACTAAGCCACTCTAAGATTCTATGATTAAAAGTATGTCCCGCCACGCAGTGTAGCTGTGTACTTCTACCATTAAAAGGAGCTCCAGGGATATGCTCAGAATGTGCCAGTGGGGGAAACACTGGTTAGCCCACCAGTGACTGAGCTAGAAAGCACAAAGCTGTGACCCAACACTTCAACATGTACCGAAATTGTGACACAAGGGTCTGCCCTGGACACCTACTCCAAGCAGTGTGCACCTGCAAACCCCCCGCATGGATTAGCACACACAGAGAGCTCACAACAGAACATGCCATCTTACAAGTCCTAAAGTTCCATTTCCTTACCCACCACCACCACCTCTGCTCCATTCCACGTGTAACCAGAGGCTCACCCCGCAGAGGCACACCAGCCACACACATCCCACACACACAGCCGGGCACTCCTTATTACCAACCCAAGGCTGCAGGCAGGCGCTCAGTCACACCCCACGCAGCAGAACAGCCGTCCTGTGCATCACGCCACTGATCAGAGGAACCCCTTGGCCATCGACACACATGCATACGCTCATACCCACGCATCGCGACACGCTCGATAGCAGCAAAGCCGCCGAACACACTGGTGCTCACGCACTAGAGGTGCGGTGTGAGCGATGCCCCCAGAGAAGCCCGTGCTACACGCGGTGCTGCGTGCGATGCACGTGCGATGCACGGCGCTGTGCACCGTCACTCTCCGTGTGTGCGTGTGTCCGGACGGGACGCAGCCGCCCCACTACCTGCCGAAGTGACCCAGGGAGTCGAAGATCTGCTCGGAGCCGGGAGCCATGGCGGGGCCGGAGCCTCAGTGCTGCTGTCCCGGCGCTGCGGGGAAGATCCACCGGCCCGGCTCGGCTCCCCGCCCCCCTGCGGCCCGCCCCGCCCCGTCCCGCGGCCCGGGGCTCCCCGCGGGGGCCGTCCAGAAGGGGAGGCCCCGGACGTGGTCCCAAAGGGCTCGGGGAAGAGTGCCTGAGGCAGCCCGGGGTGCGGGACTGCGGGCCGGGAGCGGAGGAGCGGCCCTGGCGGTTCAGCACTGTGCGGGTGGTCGCGGTCTCGGTACTGCTGCGGTGGGGACGGTTCCGTCCCTCACCCGGACCTGAGAACGTTCTCATCCCTCACACAGACCGTGCGCCTCAGATCGAGTTCTTCCTTCAGGGCTGGGCTCTGCCTGTCCCATCAGGCAGCTTCTTTTTTTTTTTCTCTTTTCTTTTTTTTTTCGCTTCACCTCCCCCCAAATTAAATTATGTGCTTCATTCCTCCTGTGGCAATCAATGATGATCTGCTATTTCAGGCTCCAGTGTGTTTTGTACAGATATTTTTAATTAGAAGAGGGTATACATTCCCCCTCTCCCCCCCCCCCCCCCAAGACATTATCTAAATGTTAACAAGAGTTACTTTTAGTTGCCTTACGATCTGCCCTGTTGGTGGGACATATTATGTTGTAATGAGTTATATGATTGTTTTTTTTCCCCCAAAATTCTGGCACATAATGGAAAATAGTATTATTCACTAAATGTAAAATATGTAACATGTCCCATACAGCATTACTCATTAGTACACTTAACTTATAATTAAGCCTTAGTTATATTTGGACCTAATATTCTGCCTTCCCCGAAGCAGGACAAGATCACAGAATTATAGAATCATAGAATTATAGAATCACAGAATGGCTTGGTTAGAAGGGACCTGAAAGCCCACCCAGCCCCACCCCCTGCTGGGCAGGGCTGCCACCCCCCAGCTCAGCTGCCCAGGGTCCCATCCAACCTGGCCTTGAACATCTCCAGGGATGGGGCACCACAGCTTCTCTGGGCAGCCTGTGCCTGTGGCTCACCACCACGAAGTAAAGAATTTCCTCCTGATAACTAATCTAAATCTCCTCTCCTTTAGTTTAAAACCATTCCCCCTTGTCTTATCACCATCTGCCTATGCAAAAGGTTGATTTCCCTATTGTTTATAATTTCCCTTTAAATATTTAAAGGCCATGATGAGGTCTCCCCAGTGCCTTCCCCAGACTGAACAAACCCTGCTACCTCAGCCTGTCTTCACAGGAGAGGTGCTCCAGCCATTTGACCATCCTTGTGGGCCCTCCTCTAGACCTTTTCCAAAAGCTCAGCATCTTTCCTGTACTGGGGGCCCCAGACCTGGACATAGTACTCCAGCTGGAGTACTGCCCTCACAAGGGCAAAGTAGAGGGATGCAATCACCTCCCTCTCCCTGCTGGCCACTCCTCTTTTGAAGCAGCCAAGGGTACTGTTGGCCTTCTGGACTGCAAGCACACACTGGGCTCATGACAAGTTTCTTTCATGTAATAGGACCTCCAAGTCCTTCTCTGCAGGACTACTCTGAAGGATTTTTACTCCCAGTCTCCCATATCCGGGATTGCCCTGAGCCAAGAACAACACTTGGCAATAGGCTTTGTTGAACCTCATTAGTTTTACATGGCACCACCTTTCAGGTTTGCCCAGGTCCCACTAGATGGCATTCCTTCCTTCTGTTGCATCAACTGCACATCTCAGCTTGGATGAGATAACCCATCTAAAGCTCTTGGAGAATGAGCAGGACAGATGACAGCAGAAAACCTTAGTGCTGTACAGACGTGCTCCAACCACCCAGTCACTCCTGTGTGACAATTAGGAAAGGTATGGAGAAGAGCTGTGGTGGGTACAACCCTCAGGTTTAAGGTTTTCCTCCTCTCCTCCAAGTCCAAAGCTGTCCTTGCACCGTATGGGGAGATCATAGAACCATAGAATCATTTGAGCTGGAAGGGACTCTTAAAGGCCATCTAGTCCAACTTCCCTGAAATGAACAGAGACATCTGCAGCTCAGATCAGTGTGCTCAGAGCCCCAACCACCTTGACCTTGAATGTGTCCAAGGATGGGGCATCCACCACCTCTCTGGGCAACCTGTTCTAGTGCCTCATCACCCTTAGTGTAAAAAACTCCCTTATATCCAATCTCTAGCTCCCTTTTAGTTTGAAACCATTTTCCCCTTGTCCTAACACAGCAGGCTTTGCTAAAGAGTCTGATCCCTTCATTCTTATAGCCCCCCTCTAGATACTGAAAAGCTACTATCAGCTCTCCTCAGACATGGAGATGGACCAGATCCACTCTAAAGCCTCCTTCCACCCCAAACCGTACTGCAATGCTGTGATGGAAGACACATTTCCAGCAGGCAGCATGAAATAACCCTTGGAGATTTTCTATTAATCCACTGAAGTCAACCTTCCTTTTCAAAATGTGACCCAAACGCTTCTAATAGCACTTTCCTTGCTAGCCTACCCACTTTTGCAGGGAGATGTGTCTTTAAGAGGCTCTGGCATCAACCGAGTGCACAACTGCACCTCCGTGCAGAGCAGATGTTTGTGCAGTGCAGTGACAATCTGTTCCAGCACAGACCTGGAAAAAGCAGATGTTTGTCAGACTTCTTGGTCATGAGCAAACAGCACGTTGCACCACAGGGAATCTGAGGATCAGATCCAGCAAAGGATTCCTCCTTGCAGCTACTGAAGTGCTACACCCATCTCATACTCCTTTGGAAGGCTTTGCTCTTTGAGAAAGCTCAACAGCTATCTTTCCACATCTGCACTGGATTTTTTTAACACAAAGTCTGAGGTTTGTTTTTGTTACTTTCTTAGGGCATGTGAACTAAGTCTAAGGGACTTTTTTTTTTTTTTTTTTTTTTTTTTTAAATGTATACCACATGGTTCTTCCCTTAAAATATCAGCATTTATTTGAACCAACCTTGTTTTTTTCTGGAGCATATTTTTCAAGTTGAAGTGGTGCTTGAAGACAGTACTGATACATTCACAAAGCATTTATTTTTCCCAAGAACCGCTCTTGTTTAAATAGTTATTTACAAAAACAAACAGCAATGAATAGTGAACACTCAGGCTACATAATGCCTTCCTGCTTCTCTGCCTGTTTTTAGTGTCTTGCTCCTACACCAAGTAAACTCATTAGGTTAGTCATAATGGTATCAGGAAGATCTATTTTTGGTGTAAACATCAAGCAGGAAATATCTAAGTCCCTTTCAGCACCATTTTTTAAACCTGAAATGATCCACAGTTGTCTCACTGTGGAATCTCTCATAGATATTCTTGCTCACATTTCTCTCTCTGTCTGCATCTTAGATAATATGATTTTATGGAGGGAGACCGACTTTTTATGTGGTTTAATAGCGATAGGATGAGAGGAAATGGTTTTAAACTAAAGGAGGAGTGATTTAGATTAGAAGTTAGGCAGAAGTTTTTCACTCAGAAGTGGTGAGGCGCTGGCACAGCTGCCCAGAGAAGCTGTGGTGTCCCATCCCTGGAGGCGCTCAAGGCCAGGTTGGATGGGACCCTGGGCAGCTGAGCTGGGGGCGGCAGCCCTGCACACAGCAGGAGGTGGGGCTGGGTGGGCTTTCAGGTCCCTTCTAACTCAAGCCATTCTGTGATTCTATGATTCTATAATTATATGATTTATTGCTCATATCAGAATAAAAATAGAAAATTTGCACCCGCTTCTACTGAAGTTAATACCAAACTCTCATGTCTATGTTTTCAAAAGTTATTAATGTAATGTCTGCAATGTCAGCTCTCTTAACATGCAGTGATCAGAGATTCACCTTCTTTCTTTTTCAAGCCTCGGAAGATGCACAACATGCTTTAAGCCTGCATTCCTCCTATCCTGTTACAGCAATTCTACATGAAGCAGTAACTATGCTTTCAGTCACAGTTATTCCTCACCAAGCTGTTTTTCACCAGGGTGACCTAAAAACGCAGAGGTCCTTTGCTGACTATGTTCAGACAGTACACAGCTCTCCAGCTTCTTGCAGCATGATAAACTTGTGCTACAGAAAACACAAGCAATATCTGAAGAAGTGGAAGATCTAATTACCACGTGTCAAAACGAGACCATCCACATCTGTGCTCTACCCAGTTTAGAATTTTAGGGATTTTTTTAGCAGAAGGAACTGAAGAGATGTGATTCCTTTCCTACCAAATCTTTAGAAACCACTGGGGTGATTGAGGGCGTTCAAAATGCTTTTTCCAGGTTATACCAGAGGTTTCAAGAGTTGGTCTTTTAATCCCAGAAGAGATTAAAGGAAATATTCAGAGTCACATCTCAAAAAAGCTTCAGTTACAAATTTAACCTCATTTCTGGCATTCCCAGATAAGTCGGTGCTAAATAGAGGCATTCAGTGTTGTACAGTCCTTGAGGAAGAAGTGATCTTAACAACTTGTAATGGGAGAAGAGATGGTTCATAGAATAATCTCCTTTGGTTTGACACTCTCACTAGGAAAAATCCACTGTCTACTGGTGCAGACTGTTCTGTCCTCCCCTTCTGCAAGTTAAATTAGTGTCACCAACATATGAGACGTGGATGAGGAACATGCTTCTGATGTGAATTTCAGTACACGTTCTAATGCACATGTAAACGCATGCTGAGCTTTGAATTACAGCTGAACCCTGAATACAAAAGTAGATTGCTGATAGCATCTACCAACTCTTTTTCACGGCTCCATTGCAAACTGATTACCTAATCTGTTCCCCACTCCTTTGACATGGCTTGTAACCCACAGGTCAGGAGCAATTATTACAGAGTGCTAAAATTGCAGCTGTGTCAAGCAGCAAACACAGGTGAACTGACTGCTGCCACCAGCATTCAAGTCGAGTGTATGAGTAGAGTCCAAACCTGAGTGCGTATGAGTCCAAACCTGAGTGTTCTCCAGTATCTATTTTTGTCACACTAACAAAAACAAAAAAAAACCCACTAAAATAATTTGTAAGGTAGCTTGAACATAACCTTCTCACCTCCTGTTTGGAAGTTACCCGCCTC